AGCCCTAAAAGTATCAAAGTTGTGTTTTTCTAAATGAGATACCCTATATATTACTGCATTTTTGGATTCTCTGAGCAAGATAAGTGTTCGTTTTAATAAGATTTATATTGTCTAAATCTAAAGGTTTTTTAAATAGCTCGAATCAGTCTAAACTGACAAATAAAATAAATGATTTGACATGTGTAAATGGCATAGGCAACTTAGATACATAGGAACCGTAAATTAAACAACACCAAATGGTGCACAGAACGACTATTTGACGTATTTTGTAAAAAGGCAAAAACTTAGCTATTAACATCCTAATACCATTCGATAGGTAATTAAAAATTGCATTTCCTGGTAAGTTAAAAAATATGGGGTTGTATTTAAATTAATCAAGTCAGAGCCACTTCAAGTTCTTATTTGATTAGTTTAAATTTCTAGACACCCTGTATAACATGGCAAGTTTATTATCATTGGGATATAAAATATTGTATCTTGTTACACTTCACTATAACTTACGCTTACATAACTTAAATACTTCTAAAGTATTTGTCACGTGAAAATTAGATTAGATTTTGATTAAATTCGTATTATTTAAAAAACCTTAAGATTTTGGTATTATAAACCTTATTAAAACAGACACTTATTTTGTTCAGCGAGTCCAAAAATTCAATAATATACAGGACATTCCATTTAAAAAAACCCAACTTTGAAACCTTTAGAGCTCTTGGGACACCCTGTACATTACAAAAATATTTTTAAAATGTGCGCTCGGTAGGCGTCGGACAATTCATAAAATAATTCTTTTTAAAAATCAAACGGTTTAGCTGTAAACTTCCGTGCCGTATAGCGTGAATAACCCTGTATATTATTAACTTTTTAAATTCTACTCCAAATTCTAAATATGTTTTATGTATAGCGTCCTGCATCTAGGTCTAACCGTTTTTTATTTATTTGAAATTTTATGCAAAAGATTAAAGTTGCAGCCACTAGAATAATTACCTATTTTCTTAGTTACTCCAAGGACTTACTTTAATAGAATTTTGACAACATTTTGAAATTGAATTTGTCTCGCTTCATAACCAAAAAAAGCACTCAGTAACTAACTCAGTATATATATTTACATGTCAACAGCTTATTCTCCTGAACGAAACGCATTTGGGAACGCCTACACCTCGGCACCGTCCACTCCCTACTACACGCAGCCGCTAAGCAACCAACCAGCCTATCAGGACGCTCCCAACGTGTACCGCCCCCAGTTACCGGAGCAAGCGCCCGCCCCCCAAAAGCCGCAATACAGCGCCCGTCAAACCACTCAGCTGCCCGAAGTCAGCAATATCGACCTGGCTATTAACGAGTACGAACTCGGCCAGACCAACAACCACTTTGAGGAGCACAACAAGGTAAAACACTCCACAACTAGACGGCCGGAAGAGGCGCCGAGGAGCACCAGAAGACCAGCGACTCGCACCCGATACGAAGAAACCACCACTGTAAGAGGGCGAACCAGAACCAGGGGGCGACCAGGTCGAACCACCTCAACCACCACCCCAGCGGCTGTGGACCCCGATAGGTATACTGTGTTGGAGGAGTTTTCTGCTCGGGAAGTTTCCACCGAATCCTACGAAAGCCCTTCGAGCAGCCCCGAGGGCCAGACTGAGCCTCCGCGACGGCCCACCGCGTCTTTTAGTGGCAGCCGATATTTGCCGGAGGAGGCGTTCGACACCACTCGCGCCCAGTCCTACGACAATACGCGTGTTGAGCTGGAGCCGCCCAAGAGGAACCGCTTTGTAGCTCAGGAGGAGCCCCCCAGCACGCCCAAACAATACCGCACGGAAGTAGAAAACATCCCGGCCAACGTATACAGCTTGGGACAGCCGACCACCTATGGGAGCGACTTTGAGCCCTCCAGAACCCCATCCAGCTCCTCCAGGCCTTTCTACGAAAACGTCGAGGTGAGCACCACTGGACGGGCTTCATCCAGAGAACCGCCCACTCACCGGTTTGGGTCTGAAGTGGTCAACTACGAGAACAGGGAGCCCAATCAGGGCCGGGCAACCTACTCAGCCAACTCCGATGAACTCCCAGTCCGACCAGAAAAGGAGCGGGAATCAGCCGAACAGCGTCCTCAAGGCCTTGAAGAACCCTCATCCGTGGACAACCTGTTCCAGCCTAACTTCGACCAGACCTACATCAGCCTGCAAGACCAAGCAGTGCGGTCGCTGCTGGTGCCTAACCTTTTGGCGCCCGGGGCGAAGCAGTCACGCCCAACTTTACCCACAGAAAGTTCTCCCCAGCCAGTGCCTACGACTGAGGAGCTTATCCAGCTGCCATCCAGCACAGAGGCGCCAACTACCACAACAACAACCACCACCGGGCGACCCACAGTTAGAACTAGGGGTAGAGGAAGGCCGCGGCCTACCAGCGCAGCCGCTGTGGAAAGCGCGCCATCCAGACGCACGCCTAGTAGGAGGAGGCCTACTCCCCAGACCTCCTCCACTGAAAGAGCAGTTGACTATGACAGTGGGGACTCTGGCTCCTACGTCCAGCAGCGGTTCAGGACGCGCACGCGGCCTACGCAGAACGACATCGTTGAGCGGCCCTCCACGACGGAAGCTTACCAACCACCTGCCATTGAAGTCGCCTACGAGCCGATCAAAAGCCGCACGGCCCAGACGCCCTACGAGGAGCAGCTAGTAGTGACAATCGCTCCCAATCCAGAACCGGAAATTCGGGAATACAGTCGCGTGTTTACTGCCCCGATCACCACCACACCTCAACCAGTTCTAGACTACGAAAACACCCGCATCCGAACCCTTCCAGTGGCGGAAGCTCCGAGCTCTGAACAGCCGGAGCGACGATTGGAAGCAGGGCCCAGGCAGAGCGAGGAGGAGCCCTACAGAAGATCCCACAACGCTAATATTCAATCGGGAGGCGTTTTGAACAACCGCCGGGAGCCCTCTACTTCCACAGCGCCCCCTACTAGGGTGCGCGGACGAACAAGGGGCAGGTCTAGGTTTGCCACCACCACAACCACTCCTCGACCCATCAGCAGAGTGTCCTCGAGACCCACCAGCGCCACCTTGAGAGCGCCCACGCAAGAGCAAGAGGAGCCTGAGTTCTTCGGCTTCACTAGACAGCCCAACTTTTCCCCAGCAGCCACTAAGCTCAGCCCTTCCACCACCACGCTGGAACCTGCGGTGCGCTTTGTAGGGGAGATCAGGCCCAAGTACACGCCTCGAACCACCACTGGGCAACCCGCAGAAGATGTTGATTATGCTGAAACGCCCAGGACAAGAGTGCGCGCCAGAACAAGAGCGCCAGCCCGACCGACTCCTGCCAATACGGTGCGTCCAGTGGAAAGCGAACCTGCAGCTGGGAGGGGCCGGGTGGCCACCCCCCAAAGAACCAGGGGCAGATCGCATTACCGCGCCCCTGAAAACGTGAAGCGAGAAAACGAGGATGAGGACGTGGCCAACCAAAACTATCCTACGGAGTTTTTGCAGAAGTTGGAGGTGTCGTCGGCAAAGCCGAGGAAGACGTTCCAGATTACGGTGGACCCGCTGGAGGGCGATGATGATCAGGCCTCGTATTCGTCGATTCATCGGCCGAAGTTCGTCCAAGCCCCCCTGGACTCTGATGGCTCAACAGCCTCCACGCAAACACGAGGTAAGGAAAAAATACCACCAGATACTAGGGAACAGCGAGTGGACCGTGTCGGTCTATGTACAATGTTTGAAGTTTATTTTCTCCACAGATCCCAACGGGTTGCAGTTTTCCGAAAAACCCCAGCATTTCCCCAGCCCCGAACCGCAGGCTCTAGCCTTTGAACTGAGTGATCAGCCCATTCCAGTGGAAGCCTCAACTTGGGAAGAAAGCCAAGAAACTGCGTCAACCGCGGTAGCAGAGCCAACCACAAAAAGCCGACGAAGAGGCGCCTGGAAACTAGTGAGACAAAGACCTGCCGATCCTCTGGAGGTTTCCGAGTCGCAGAACTACCAAAGTGTGCTGAATGCCTTCGAGTCCATTGGGAAGAGCGACTCCTTTGGCAAAACCCAGCACTTTAAAGACCAGAGCAGCTTGGAAGACGTTAGGGACAGTGCTGATGAAGAAAGCCTTGAAAGTGCTGATGAAGAAAGCCTTGAAAGTGCTGCTGCCAGCACCGAGCCCAAGCTAGATGAGTTGAGCCCCACAACCAAAACTCCCGAGAATTTCTTCGAGAAGATCTACGAAATGTTTGGCGTATTTGGACATGGGGAAACCAATGCCACTACTGTCAGCAGTGCCTCTGAAGATTCCTCCACGGTGGCCAATCCAGTATTCCCGGAAGAAATCACGGAACTGCCTACCACAACCAGTGGGGAAGAGCAAAAGGCTGCAGAAACAACTGAAACTCTACCAGCCTCCACTACGTTGAACATCAGCGCGTCATCGCAGCCATACGATGTGGAACCTTGGGAAATGAAGCAGGTGAAAACATCCACTTCCACTGAAGTTTCTCATGAAACGGAGATTTGCTATAAAGGACGCTGTGTGAAGTCCCGGGACAAAAAGACGCACAAATGAACCTGCTGAGGTTGAGAGCATGTTGTACATAATATTATATAAAGAGAGAATGTGAATGCTTGGTAAAACGACTTTTTATTGATGGTAGGAACCTGTTGAGGTTCGGAATTAAAACTGTTAGCTAATCAGGGTTCTGAGCAAGCAACCGGCTGCTCTCGGTGGGTCGGAAAAACTGGAACATGTTGCACAAACCCTGTACTTATGGACCATTTCTAGCCGAACAGCACGAAATTATTTATTGAATAATTAACAAAATTAATAAACGATTATTACTACCATGAGAGCGTCATTCTTGCAACATCTAACCTTCCTTGATTGCCCACTCAAATTGCCCCATCATTGTCTCAATTTGAAGCATAAATAAAGGGCTCATTAGCGGATAATTACTGTAGTTATTGTTAGGCAGGCTCTCCTCATTATGACACGAAACCCAACTTAATTAACCAACGTTTAAAAAAGCACACAGAGTCACAGATATATAAATGAGGTTGCATTTGCGGATCTCAAAAATGCCAGTTACAATGAATCAAGGGTGTTTCTTGCTCGTGGTCAGTGCTGTTTTGGTGTTTGCGGAATTCGATCAAACGGTAAGTGAATAACGTTGTTAAACTTAAAATTTGTGTGTTTCATTGCAATTTGCAGAGTTTGCCACCCGAAACTAAGGAATTGATGGCGGCTCTGCACAAGAACTGCATTGAGCAGATTGGAGTGAGTGAGGGTGATTTTTTGATGCACCGAAATTAATTTAGTTTCTAATGCGATTTTTTGCAGCTGATGTCGATCAACTGAGAGCAGCAAATTTTGAAGAGGATGCAAAATTAAAGGTTTGGATTGTTGCATTATAAATTACATTTTTTTGATGAATTCCATTCAAATGTCTTAAAATTCATTTCCAGTGCTACACCCGGTGTCTTATGGCTGAAAGCGGAGTGGTGAGTATGAAAACCGTTTTCAAACATTGAGCAAATGAGAAGATACTTTCGCAGATGGACGAAAACGGCGCCATCGATGTAGAGGCTTTTGCGGAAATTCTTCCGGAAGCCGTCCGTGGCAACATACAGACGATTTTCCGCCGTTGTTCCCTCACAAACAGTACGCTTGAAAAAACTTCTTAGTGAAAAAATCGTTAAACAGTTTCTTGTTTTAGAAGACATTGAAGATCAGTGCGTGAAAGCATATGAGATGGTTAAATGCTGGCATAAGGAAGATCCTGAGGTGAATAGCGCGAAGAAACCGACTTTCCTCAAAAAGAAACTTAATAAATTGAGATTTTTAATTACTACTAACATTTTTCAGTAGCTAAATCGAGATTAATTTTTGATGAAGATTTTAATGTTTTATGAACTTTAGATACTTATGTTTATTTTACTTTTAGAGTTACTTCATGATTTGATGAGGGATTTGGTACATAGATCTCACTTTGGAAGCATTTGCGACATTTTGGAACTCACAAGCATTGGTGTCTGGTGTAATTAGGTCTTGACTGTGTTTAATAAAATTATTATTAAGTTCTTGTGCTCTTTGAAATCACACCATTATTCGAATTAGGATTATTCTAAATATCGGAGTTTCATAGCAAGAAGGTCTCATCCAATTTAAGCGTTTTTTAGATGCAGAAAGAACAGTGAAAATGGTCCATGTTAACCCATATTAATAAAGTTATACAAAACAGCATTCCCTTTCATAAAGCTTGTTGAAACTAGCGGATTTTCTAGCCTCTTATCATTTCACAGATTGCAAAGTCGCTTGAAGATTTCTGAAACTAGACTGTGTATAATTAGTGCAAGTTTTAGGTCTCAAAGTCGCCCAGTCTAGGAACTGTGTTTTTTTTTATACAGAGTTGAGGATTTTTTACAAACTTCTTGTTCGGTATTTCGCCTCAAACATTTTTGTCTTTAAAAAAGACAGAATTTCCTCACGTCTTCTATTACAGATTGATAAATAGTGCTCCTATTTCGCAATAAGAACGAATT